AAGACAAATTAAATTCATTTGTAATTCAGTATTTCAATCTAAAATTAATTGAAAAGTGACGCATCGATTTAGAATCTGCAAAATTTTTCTCAAAAAGATGAGTTTAACTATTGTTAATAATTGTTTTAATAGACTTTGCAATTAGTGGCGTAACCAGAAAATCACTAGTAGTTAAGCGTTATACTAATAATTTATAAAAAGTCATTTTTGAGTTTTCTATCTTGATTCGAAAGTTTCAGTGGTTTTTATATTTATTACTTTTTGTGCTCTATACATGTTTCTTAGTGTTATCTATCTATTACATATATTTGCATAATGCAAACTTACCTTCAAAGTAAAGAAAAAGTCGTAAAGATTAAAGGTTCTCTTTGTCAAAACAGTTAGATATATTTCGTTGTAGCAACCTTTGTCAGAGCCTAATTTTTACAGAAAAACGCACATAATCCTATTCGTTTATATTACAGATAATATCTTTCATCTAGGTGAAACGCATATTTTAGAAATACTTTGTCGCAGTTATTTTTTTATTTTACAAAAATATTCTGTGTCAATATTTAACAACATTTACAAAATGAAGTCTCTCGAAAAGACAACTTACTCATCAATATCAGGTTGAGTCCAAATGGATATGTCACTTTTCGATTAATTGTAGATTGAAATACTGAATTAAAAATGAATTTAATTTACCTTTAAATTTCGAAAAATTGACAATTTTGAAAATGTTTCTGTTTAGATTTAATAGTACAATGTGTAGCAAATCCTAAACAGGGATGATGTAAAGAAATGAAAAAAAAAGTGGAGAGAAGATTGTTACGAAAAATATTTTTACAGTGAAAAAGATTTATGCATAATTTTTTTTTCAAAATTAAGGGCATTCTCAGATTTATTTTCTTCATTTGAGGATTTTTTTTAAAAAAATACAATACGACTGTAGGTGAAACAAATTGAAATTTTGTTTGTTTTTCTAATGGAAAAATGTCAATAATCCTTACATGACAGGATGACATCAAATTATAATTTTTCTCAATTCTAATTCTTGCTTCTACATAAGTAGGTAAATATGTTAAAGAAAAAATAAACAAATATGAATCACCACAAGTCTTTTTCTTATTTGTGAAATAATCGTACATTTTATTTTGGTATATTAACGTTTATTCATCTGAAAAAGATGACTTGATTTTATTTTAATTTTTATTTCAGAATATATTGATTTAATCCGGTATTGTCTTATCTAGTATAGACAACACCTGAATGTTTCTTTCTTTCTCCATTTATTGAACGCATATCATTGGTTTGTTCTTAGTAGTCGACAAAAGATTATGCTTATGTTATGACCGAAGTTAGAATTGAGTCCAATTTAGAATTCGTCCAGACGAAGTTGCAATATTATTTTAATAAATCCTAGAACTTAAAGAAATACTAACAATTACATCACAAGAGGGTCATGAATGATAATGAGGGTGAGGGGAAGTCTCTGTAACGGTAGGGGAGGGGGGGGGGTTCGGTGAGGCAAGAGGGCGAAAGGAAAGTGAAAAACCCCGCAAAACCGGAATCTCGCTCATATATTCACCGTCACCCAGACTCCCTCACCGTTATCAAGACTTCTCCCTCACCCTCACTGTTGTTCGTGACCTTCTCGTATTCTAATTGTTGATATTTCTTCAAGTTCTATGATTGATTAAAATAATATTCCAATTTCATCTGAACAAATTCTGAATTGGATTGAATTCTAACTTCGGTCATAACACATATATAATTTTCAACAAAAAACAACAAAGAAAAAAGACAAAGAGAAAAGAACAAGTTCAATCCATTAGAAATATAGACGTGTGCGATCTAACACGTCAGTTGTGTTTGAACTTGACGCAAGTAAGAACATTTTTCATAAGACAAAATAATTTTGAAAAGGAAAATCATATCTGCACTCTTATTAGTGAAGATTCTTCTTATTGTTTTCTTTCTTCACATTGAATTTTTATAATTGTTGTTTACAATTTTATTATATTTCTATGTACAAAATAGAATACATAGATATTTTTCGATATGATTGGAAGAACATAATATTATAGATGCTATATTAAAGTTTTACGTAGTACATGAAGATTATTTGATATATATATCGAAACATTAACTATAAGTTGACATAGCCTGTAATAAGCAAAAACAAGTACTGAAATCCTCTAGTGTAAATAAAGAAATATTTTAGTTAAATTTCTTTTCATAGACATTTTCCTATTAATATATCGCTTACATCCAAGATTAGTTGTGCGATAAATAAACAAGTAACCTACTAATAGCTATTATTGAGAGGGCATTTCGATAAAATATAATATCCTTTGCTCGAGAAAAACTATTTCATTAGATGATTGAATAGAATTTCGGTAGGAAAAGCAATGTCACCTTCTTGAAAGAAGATGATGACAATCATGTTGTGTATTTTCGTTTTGCATTAAATTTGACAAGTTTCGAAATTCTCTACTCAATCTATCAAAAATTGAACAATAATTCTATTTGAATAAATTTTTCAGATTTTATTCAAAATATTAAGAAAACATTAGAAACAGGACAGACATGAAAATATTAGATGAGAGTAACTGATGTAGAAAAAAGTAACATGAACAATTGAAAAAGTTATTTGACTTTAACTAATGTCGGCGCCAGAAGTAGATGGAGAAAACTCAAGGAGGAATATCTCCTGAACGGATGCAGCTAGCGACCTGCGGTTTTCACCATTGGAAAGAAAACACCCAGGGGCATCCATACATGGTAAAATATAATTGATCAGCAATGGACCAATCAGATGCATTCTCGATGGAAATGTTGAGCCCGGTATTCTGGAGCTGTTTCTCAACTTTGCTCGATTATTAATTTACGTTTTTGATAGAAAAAAATTGTTCTCTTTCGATCTACGAAAAGCCCGCCTTTCTAGCTCGTTCCGTTCAAGAGTTATAAGAGTTTTCCTGAGACCCCTGATTTCAGCCAATTGACCTTGGATCACCAAGGAAACAGTCTGGGATGGGCTCATTCATCATGCTGAGCCGAATAGTGATATTTGTTTTTGGATTCGAAATTAGCTTACAATGCTTTTTACAGATTTTTTAAATTTCATTGGATCTACCGCTACCTATCACACAAGTCTATACTTCGAAAATATTGAGATAATACCCTAAGCTGATTTCGAACCTAAAAACAAATATCACCATTCGACTCAGCATGATGAATTACCCCATCCCAGACTGTTTCCCACCCACCCACACCCTAATATTCCAATAAAAGAAGTAGTATAATACTATTATAATAGAACAAAATAAAAGATAACATTAATTGTTATTGAGAACATATGTCTACTTATTTGTTTTTATTTTTTGATCGGAAATATTTGTTTATTTTTTTGTATCATTTGTTGAAGAAATAAGACTGAAAAAAAATAAATGAATAAATATTTTTTTTTCATATAAATTTTGTTTTGAAAAAACCTCACATGAAAGAAAAAGCTGGACAAATGATAGTAATGACATTTGAATAATGTATCGTATGTCAAGGTTTCCATATAAGAAAGAAACATGTAACATTGGTTCATTTGAAGAAATATGGTGAAAAAAAAACAATAGAAGAAGATCCTATTGTTGACATACATAAAATTATAGAGAGAAAATATTCATCTATTGAAAAATACGAACTAATAGATTTTTTATTTAGATGTTTTTACTCAAATAAATGAATTGTGTGAGTAAACTCTATTATTTTAGTTAAATAAAAATGTCAAGATTTATTTTGTTTTCGTTTTCTAAACGAAAAATATGATCTATAATTTTGTTACATTTTCATATTAACAACAATGATATTATCGTAAACTAGAATAATTTCATAATTAGTTTAGCCATATAATTTCGTCGTCTTATTTTTTTTTGTTTATTTTTAATAAACATATGTACATTAAGTTATTAAAACTGTCGTTAAACTTTTCATAACATAAGTATAACAAATAAATAAAACATTATTTCTCAACTTTTATTTAATACTAAAGAATCAAAAAAATAAAAGTTACGATAATGATTCATATTTTTTTTCATACAGAAGGTTGATGATAATACTTCAAATTTAAAAAGAAAAAATCATTAACTTGTACTAAAAACATGAACATTTTTGTAGAAAAAATTTCAAATTTTATATGAAATTTCTATTGAAGATAGAAAAAGAATGTATGAACATAAAATATTGTCAGAAAATCTTGTATTCGGACAACCGATATAAATTCTTTTATACCGGATCTTTGTGACTTAAACCTAATGGAAAGAGAAAAACATTTATTCAGTATCAGATAGATTTTTCTTCACGATATGACTTCGTAACTTTTAATAGAAACAATTTTGGAGAAAAAAAAATTATGATTAAGTTATATAGAATGTTCACGAATATGAAATCTTGTAGTGAAAAAGTTTAAATTTACATTATACCATACAATTTTTTGTTTTGATAAAAGTCAGTCTACATTCTTATAGAATAGAACTTTTCAAGATCTGTAAAATATATTATTTCATATTTGTATATCTTTATTAAAATGAGAACATGTTAATAAAAAGAAAACGAAATTTTGATTTGTTGAAATTTTTCAAAGACAAATGTTTACAAATGTTTATGAAATAAATATTTTAATTTTATTTCTGTGAGGATGCTTTCTTCATTGGCACGCAAACTGACACCCATACCAATACCCTGTTTATTCATTCGTAAATGACTGTTAATATGATAAGCAAAGACTTGATTCGTAATTGGTTATTAATCATAATAATAATCCATTGTTATCATTGAGACTGAAGTGACTGTCGGTAAGCCTTTCGTTGAAAGCATCATTGTTTCACTCGCAATCGTTTATAAAGCGCTGGACATGTCTCTGAAAAGAAAACATACAAGCTGACTAAAGTGAACACACATTCTAGAACCAACACAATATAGGATCCAACACACAGTTGACTGTTTTTCTGCTGACAAAAACTTTGCTATGTCAAAGGAAAAGCAACGACTGGTGCGACACCAAGGAATAATAAAAGAGTGTTGAAACAAAGTGCAAAAGATAGATACTTGAAACGTTCACGTAAATCTTGATTCGATTCTTGCAAATTAAGCAGTGTATTAGCACTGCGCGATAAGCGATTCTTAGCACGTCTCTTAGCACGAGTCTTGACACGTTTCTCGGCAATCACAGATGACTGTGAGGTTGCAGACATAGCATCCGTTTGTTGATTATTGATTATTAATTCAACAGTTGTGTAAGGAGACGATGATGACTCAACAATCTGATTCAATGATGATGGTGAAGTTAAATCAGCGTTGAACTGAGGCGTATCAAGAGAAGTTGATGGAAATTTTTCTGAATTCATTAGAATGTCGTGTGTGTATGCGTAACGTTTATATTGAAGAGAAGTAAATTTTACAAGGATTCATCTATTCTTACATGTGCGAAGAAAAGTTGACATCAGTCGTTATCTCTTATCTAAAGATAACACACTGATTACAAATGACTCTGTTCTTTTGTGAAATACGATTTAAAAGAAGCTTTGAAGTATATAGAGTAGAAATTTGAATTCATCCTCATCCCTCTCCACAGACCGTGAGAGACAGCCATGTGGCCCATTTGCAGTTCTAGAAGATTAAATGAAACTTGGTGGAAAATGGGTCCGCAGATAGATCGAATAAAACAATATTCTGTTGATTAGTAATGAGAGCTCTATCATTTTTCGGATTTTATTTCCGCAGAGATTGCACCAATAGCATTGTTTTCTTGTCATTAGAATTGAATGAGAATAACCTAAATGTCATCGAAATTTTATATATAAAAATAATTCCTCATAAAAAGTGAGTCACGCATGATTTTTGTCATATTTGATGGCTGAAGAGTAATGTGCGTCATTGAAAAGATGGTTTCTAGAGATACCGCTCTGTTCAAACTTAAGAGTGGATTTGAGATGCAGGTATAGATTTACGAAACGCCCACATCCTAAGAAATCACTTTGCGTACGACACTCTTCTATTTAAAATCAAAACCGACTATATATCTTAAGATCTGTGCTTGTGTTACACTATTAATAGCAGCAATAAAAAAGCTTATTGCAGCCTCAGCAGGGAGGATGTGAGTGTGAGTGGGATGGGTGTGTGTGTGTGGGTAGGTGTGGAGTTGGGTGTGGGTGGAAGAAACAAATAGATACCTACATCCACATCCACATTCACAAACACCCAAGATCATACATGCTAACTTGAGCCTCGAAGATTCAAAGTATGCAAAGGCAACAACGCATAAAGCATAATACGTGGAAATATAAAATCTACGATGCTAGATTCTTTGGTCGTACAGATAAATCGATGATAATACAAATCTTATTGACGGAAACAAATGGATAAATGAGAGCATGATATATAGTTGTATTTTGGGTATGTATGTCTGAGAGAGAGTAAACAAAAATTAGATGGCATATTATTCGTTTGCTATTTGACAAAAACATTGTACGTGTCGGTTGAAAAGAAACGATAAGTTCTTGTCAAAATTACATACTCGTATGCAGCAATCTTTTTATTTGAAATTAATCATTTGATAGATAAAAGTAAAATTTAAAGAACAAGTAATAAAAATTTCTATGAATTGAATTCAGTATGAAACAAGACGGAAAGCCATTTTTTTACACAAAGCACATGAAACTCTTCAACTTGTATTGTTCATCTCGTTTTCTAATGATCTACTTTTCGAAAGTCTGTCGATTGCTTTGCACTATGTAAATTAACTTGGGCAGCCTTCTTAGCATGTTATAGTCAATATTATGAACATGCATCAGTAGAATAATACTAACAAGAGTTCATCTATATCCGATGATGCATTCGAGATACAAGAAATACAGACAATCAATATTATAGCCGCCAATTTTCAAAATTTATCTTCCAATTCAAGTTTATCTCAAGATATATATGATAAATTCTTCGAAGCTTTGGTACTTCAAACTTGTCACGTAGAAAAAACATGTGAAAAAAGTTACTTGAAATTCATAATTGGGTAGACTTGACTTGATGTGTGATCGAACGATCTCTGTCTTGTTCATCTTTGCTCGTATATAAATAAAAAGATATCTTTGACTTGTCGGAAAAATCGGAGTAAAATTCAGAAATATACATTTAATTCCAAGAGCTTTTTGCTTATTGCTAAAAGACCAGGAATGTTTATCTCAGGAGTCAGATAAAAGCTAGATGATTGTTTCATACTTCATATTTTGATTTCTTCTTATATGGTAAACTTCGTAATAAGGTTTTCAATAACAACATTGACAGTATGAAACAAATTTTTCTAAATCCCACCTTGAATAGAAGATCCTTCATTAATAAAAGACCCCTTTCAGGAACCGATCTGAAATCTATAATGGAAGAGCTGAGTCTTCTGACAAAAATAAGAGCAACTTCTTCTACAACACCTACCATATAAATAAAGATCCGAACTACTCTATCAATTGAAATTGGCAGCTTGATATTGTGGATGATATATCTACAATACTTTTCATTGTTTTGAGAAATGTAAAAAGAAAAGAACGAGAGTAGAAAACTTAATGCTAAGAAGCAAGACTGAAAGGTTTCTAAAATCTTAAAAATTTAGGTAGCTATCAGCAGGTGTAGTTCAGCTAGTTCGCTTATACTTCTACGTGCAAATATTCTATAGATTTCTCAATTTATCTTCGATTTAGGTTCACTTAGTTACATTCAAGATAAGCTAAAATAAAAAAAATGTTTCTTAATATGATTTGATACTAGAGGCTAACACCAAGTGAATGAATCAGTAATGATTGAAGGTGTTCTTGTTGAATTTTTATCAAATCCAATACATTTTATGGAAACTCAATCTTTGAGCAATATCCTCGAATTAAAACACTATAGATGTCAATTCGATATAAAACTTCGAGTAAATGTTTAAAGAATAGCTGAGGGTGTAATGTGGGTGCGAATGTGAATGTTGATCTCTTCCTCAGCCCTAGCTACATTCACATCTACAGCTCATACTCAAACCACATCCTTATTTTATTGTGACATGATCAAAAGCTAGCTTTCATTTCGAATATATTCTTCTTTTACATAGTCTTTTTTCCTTATAGACGCTCCAGCTTTTCTTTGTGTTTACCAGAGGATTTTTTTTCTTTTTATGGAGAGAAAATATACTGCTTGTTGCCAGGCAGTGAAAAAAGGAAGAAACATTTTTTTTACCCACTGGCAAAATGGGTGACATGCATAAAAAACGGAGAAACTACTGGCGTGCTGCTTTTCACAATTTCTGGATTCGTCGACTATCGATTTGAGTCTAAGAAAATTTGTTCGCCTGATGTCGTTTAATTTTAGGTAGACATAGATATAATGTTAGAAAGTTTTGTGATTGTTAGGAAGTAAATTCTTGAAATCTTTAATGGCAAGACATTGTATTAGTTTAATAGAATAATTTTTTTTCGTTGATCAAATCGGATTTTCGAATTTGATTTGACATAATTTTATGTACTTCATGGTGTTCTATCGGTCTAATTTAAGAAATTCAACAAATATGAAATTATTATTTTATCTTTATATATTAAATTTTCTCAAGATTTATTAGAAGACAAAAAAAAGAAAGGAAGCATGTTTACCATATAAAAGCTAAGCAAATACTGAGATTAGTTTTATGTGTATCAAGTTTATTCTAAAACTTAAGCTGGATTCACAAAATAGTACAAGTACTCGATTTGGGTGTTGTAGTTTGCGATGAAGATAGCGGTGTTGTCATTTTCGCTTGTTTACTATTTGGCAGATTGAAAAGAGACTTTTTAAAGCGATTAAATACATATTCTTCAAGTTCTTCCCCAGGATAGTTTTTAGTATATCGTTCTTGATATTTTATGAATTCTTTTTCAGAATCAGTGCGTACTTTCACAGCATATTCTTGCATTTCGGCAGCTGATTGAAAATCATATAATTTTACAAGAGTATCAGGAACCTTGTGACTACTAAACCATGCATGAATATCATCAACTGTCCATTGTTCAATAGGTTTCTTCTGATTGAAAGTGGTCGATTTAATTATTTCGGGTTCTTTTCGAGGTTGTGTCGGTATAGTATGTTGTTGTATTTGTTGCTGTGGTGGCTGTGTTTTCGTTGATTTAATAGTAGCTTCAATCGTTGTTAACAGTTCTTCAATTTTGCCAGAGTCAAGCTTTTCTGTGTGGTCTTTGAAACGAACATATTTTAACTCAGCAATGTGTATGTCTGCAAAATTTTTACAAATATTGATACATGACATTATAGAATGAAAGAAAGTCAAGAAACTATAGAAAGAACTAGACCACGAATTGCCATCTGACGAATGATACCGTCTGTAGGATATAGCGATAGTTTGATCGTCAAAATGAAGCATAATACACAAGTCCTATCGAGCAAGCATCTGAGTTTGAACATCAATATTTTTGTTGTTATGTTCTCTGATATGTTAAACGAGAAATAGTTTATATTCAAAAGAGTTATCGATGGAGCTATGATCGCTATCAATGGATCGGCAAAGTTTCAAGAAAGTTGTCTTGGGAGCTTGTCATTTGGCCAATTGCAAGACTGAAAAATTCAAAGTACTTCCATGTTTACAAGAACCATTTTCAAGAGATTATGAAAAGATTAAAGTAGAAATAATGAAACTCTATACTACGATTTGTGAACTCTGTATCAATAACTGTTGGATAGATTTTATCCAAAATATGAATTCTGATATGATTCTACCACTGATATTTTGTTCTATATTTTACTGATTAGTTAATAAAATGCTTCTTTCCATTTCGAATGTTTTCTAACATATGGATAATCCATAGGAAAAAAAAGAGAAAATAGTGCTAATTTAATCTTATATTCCGTTTCATATTTATGGCTACCATATCTTTTAATCTATTATCGTAGATAAACTTTTTTTTCGGAAATAATTTGACATTATCGAAATACTTGAGATCAGATGGTATTCAATATTGAAATGTTCTTCAATAGAATCAGTAAAAACAACATACCGAGCCAATCACAATCACCCGGTTCACCAATGTAGACAGGAATGATCGATTTGTTACGTTTAATTGCGAAAGTAGCTTCTTTACGGCACGACTTACTGTCAAAATATTTTTGAGAAAGAAGACATACAACAACTTTTGATTGTTTAATTCCAAGAGCAATTTTTTCCCATAAATCTTCGTTCGATGCTAAATAATTTCGATCAATCCAAATTCGACATAGATCCCTTTTTCTTTCGATCTCGGCAAGTATTTTATCACAAAATTGATCATTAGCATGAGCATAGCTGATCATAATCATTGGCTTTTCGTCACCAGTATTAGAGGCTAATTGTTGATCTGCGATATCATTGGTTTTACTATCGCGTATTTCATAAAGATTGTCGAGAATGCCATTCGCAGCTTTTTTCACGCTTTCCATTGAACGTGGAGCATAGTGATCAACAACATTTTCATTATAATTCGAAGCTAAATTTCGAATCGCCTTCAAGAAATTTTGATTTTTCTGAAGAATTGTTTCATACTGATCTTGAAATGAGATGCTCCATAAAATGTTCAACAGAGCTATGCACGTAAATTGTTCGAGTTGATTTTTCTCTTCGAATGCATCACGAAATTTCATGAATAAATCGACGAATAAGTTAATTTTTGATGATACATCAAGTCTTGGATTAGTTTCTGCATCATTAAGAACATACTTTAACGAATGATCATCTGTAAACAATTTGGTAAATACAGCTAAGGGTTCAGATACATGGAAACCTTTTGTATCTTGATCACGATAATTTTCTGACTAAAACAATGAACTGTGATACTTTCTTGATCAAAATTCATAAATATTATCTTATCATGTAACAAAATCAAAGTAAAACTTTCATATAACAATGAATAGTATGATCTGCCAATTTCACACTATGCTATTCAAGTAAATAAGTGTGTTAGCGTCCCACAAGAATTTCCTTGAACTATTATCACAGTAAATTTTCTGTTCAAGACATTATCTGCTTTTGGTGAAAGTTGAATAAATCTCTATTCATTAAGTTTCGGCAAAAAAGATATTTCATTCAAAAGAGGGAAGACATTATTATTCGAACTATCTTGTTTTTTGTGAAACTTACTTTAGCAGCATCAATTATGATTTGTAACAATTGATTAAGAATTTTATTCATTCGTTTATTGTCTGAGCGAATTTGTTGGGGCGTCGAAAGAAGAATACTCGCCATTGATATGATAAGATTTTCTTCATTACCCAATACACTGCTGTACTTACTCTGCATATCTTTAAGAATCAGAAGACCATCAAATTTTTTGAGTTCATCAGCACCATCATCATGTCGAGATATGTTATGAATAATGCTGATAATTTGTCGAGTTATTTTCAAAGATAATTTTTTTACTTTTAAACATTCTAGCATAGCTTTAGTCAAATCGATACCAAGAAGCCACGGCACCATAATTGTTCGATCAGCGAGATTCCAAAAGAAATATAAAATGTAATCTGTTATCTTATTATCGAGAGCTGTTTGTTGTTTGGTATGATTACCAAGCTGTAGATCACGCTCCACTCGCTTATACATGGAGCTAAATAGTTCCGTATAATTTCGTGTAATACTATCATCTTGTATAAATGGAACAGTACCAGCCAGATCGGTAGCTAAAGCCAATAACAGAACGGTTAGATATTTATAAACTTCTATGTTTATTGTTTTTGTATGTTGGTTATTATTGAAACACGAACAAATTTGTGGTTTAGAAAGTAGGTCGAGCAATTCAAAGAAAAATTCGCGTATAAGAAACTTTTCATCTTTTATGGAAGTGATATTTTCAAATATAGTGCCAATATGAGTAATTGTTTCGATACAAGTTTGAAGATCACTAGTGTCAGTAAAATTTGCTTCCTCGACTATGTCGATGAGTTCATCACATAATGGTAGAGTTTGATGAATAAGATTTTCAGAATTATCACTATTGTCGAGAAGTTGCTTAACTTTACTTAACAATTGCTCGAATATTACACTCGATTCCGCTGTTTGTTCATTTGTCTCCGATGACATTTCATTCATAAATCCTTGCAATAATTCATTGATGTTTTCCATGCTATATTCATCATTATCATCATCTGCATTGTTCGATGATGAAGTTTCATTCTCTTGAGTTTCATCCATGCTATAATAAAAATGAATCTATAATTAATCCAGCTCTGTTTAATGTGCTTTTACAATGTAACAAAGAAATTATGACAAGCGGTTGTATATTAAAGTGCCGGACATATCAGAAGATTGCGTTGAAAATATCAAGCAGAAGGCGTTTTACTAGACTTCCCCCTGTTGGAAAATCGATTTTTTTAAAAATAATTTCTGCAATTTATCGTTTGTTCCTATTTCTATATCCATAATAATATTTAAGTTAACTATGAGAAATGAACTAATAGGAAAAAAACAGTATATTGAAAAATATGTTTCTTTATCGAAAAAATTCATAAGACTTTCTATTCGGAAGAAATAATTTTATAGTTCGAAGATCCAATAGGCACAGTGCATATTTGCATGGTTTACATTTGATATTATCTTTGTAAAATAAAAACGAATTCGATAATATTCTTGTATGTATTAATTGAAATGTCTTATAAGTATTGTACACTCTAATAAAAGTTTCAAAAAGTTTTATTACAGAATATTGTATTCACAATTGAAGAAAGACTATCTTCAGAATTATAGGTCGAAGTTTGTTTTCTGAAATATTCCTTCTGAGTCTTAAATAATTCAACTGTAAAATAATTAACTCACTTAAAGTAGTATGGCAAAAAAGAAAATTCTGTTTCGTTTTTTGTGTTGTTGTCATTTTTCAATTAATCAGATGCGGCATTCATTTGCATTTATTTATATTACGATGCAGATGCTAATAGTTTCTATTGTGTCGATACATGACAACGAATTTTAATTTTCGAATATTATAAATTATGAAAGAAGCCAGTTTATAGTCTACAGCAAGGAATAATCTATATTTCGAAATGAATGCACTCGAGAACTCTGTAAATGCTTAGATTTATCTAGACTTCAGTTGGAGCTGAATATTAATTAATATTAATAAATATGATCAGTTTTTTATTCTCTTTATCAATCTTCCAAAAATTCTGTTTAATTTTTTTGCTTAACATACAGATACAAGTTGAGTGTGAGTGTCTTATATATTTTTCAGTGCTAGATATTACTGTGATTCGACAATTTGATGCCTTAAAGCTTTATAAAATATAAAATCATAGAGTCTGTTATTCAATCATTCATCATTTAATTCTTTTCATTAGTTAATTTAAGTTCATACATGGAAAAGTACTAAAATCTATGATACACTCTTCCTATATTTGTTTGGATTGTCTTCTTGTTTTTTGTGATATGATAAAAAACTGAAATGCTGTTCAAACGTAATTTTAATCTTACATGTTTTGTTTTATTCTGCTCGATGCTTCAACTTTTTTTGTGCTCACTAAAAGAACCTTTTCTTTTGATTGAGTAAGAAGTTCGTCATTTGCTGTTAAGGAACGAAAAAAGCAAAATTTTGTTTACCTAGTAGCAGAATGGCNGCCAACCAACAAATATTGCTAGTGTCGGTGAGCGCGAGTGAAAATAAGACCGACATTAATTCATGTGTATTGAAATCAAAAGCAAGCGCACTTTCGTAAGCTCATTACATGACCTATTTATTGCAGAATTACCACCAAACATAAAATGGAGCCTATTAATATTTTCGTATAGCTTCAAAATGCTCGAAAAAAAAACGTTTTTATTTTTATACTAGTCCACTATCGTTGCACTGTGATGGCGCACTTCTTTAAAAATTAATGATGTTTACAATAAATATTTCAGATATTATTGAATTTGCTTAAAAATCATGAACGCAGAACTGGACAATTTCAATGCTCTTCGTAATGCCAAATGTCGTCGTTGTCATTTATGTTTATGGAGTAATTATTTCGGACTTGGTTTTACTCTTGCACCTGCACTAGAACCACCATATATTATTGAAAGTGTTGAATCGAATAGTCCAGCAGCTGCTGGTGGTCTTAGAATACGTGATATTGTTCTTGCTGTTAATGATAAAAACACGTTTGAGCTTAGTTTTGATGAGCTTAAAAATATTATTCAAAACGCACGAGATGCACACGGTCGTATTGAATTACTCATGATTGGTCCAGATTTTTATGAAACACCAAATAAAAGCAATGAACCGATCAACCCTAGATTTGTGAAAACTATTAAAACGCCACAGACAATGCCAATAGATTATCAAAACTTTCCAAAACATCAACCACGTACCTGTGAAATGCGTTTAAATAGGAGTGATACATCATTCGGTTTTCAAACTGTTGATCCTCTGACGAGTGTTGGTATGCTTATTCAAGAAGTATATCCGAATTCACCTGCCGCTAACACATCATTACGTAAATGTGATCGAATTATTGAAATTGATGATGAATTTATTGATAATGTTTCCAGTAGAACTATCTTAGAAAAATTACATACAGCACAAGAAGAACAGCACGTGAAATTATACGTTGTTGATACGGCGACCTATGAATTTTTTCAATCAAATAACATACCATTATCATCAAAAGAATATCGACAAAGCACATTTGCAAAGAAATTCTCACCAGATTCATATATCGAAGAAGATAAGAGTAAGCCTCATTATTTTAACATATGTATGAGCAAAAAAAGTTTATTTTTACTGAAGTATCAAAATCTTTGACTAAATTTATAATAGCAATGTTTAATTCGGATATGTTTTACTTTACGTGGGCATTTGGATAGTCTAGGATGTGGCATGACGTTATAGGTGCAAGTCTGTAAGGCTCTTTATATCAGCCACACACGCCATCGATAGCTTTTATACAAAATTATGGGATAGAATGAAGTTTGCTAGACTTTTGTTTCGAGATTTATTAATATAATCTTTCTTAAGAGTAGAACTATCAACTCTTAATTTACATCATAATTTGATAAGGTTGATATTAGTCTATAGTCTTTTCATTTCAAACATAACTCATATTTTATAGGCTTCTTCATGTCGCGCCATATTTCTTGTAGGTTATAGATCAATTTCAGGACCCAAAATTGATGATGTTAAGTCACAATACGAAGAAGATGATAATAAGTCTTTCAATCAAGTGAGTACTTTTTATGAAATACTTGTTAAATATTATCGAATATCTTTAGTTATGGTCACATCGCAGAGTTGAAAACTCTGATATGGTTATATTATCTAACACTTTTGGTAACAGTGAATTCGACGTTTATCAAAAAGGATCACATTCGATTGATACAGAAATACACGATGACAAGAAGCAAACTTCGGTAATTGTATGACATCATCTATAAATATATAGTAAATTATTCATTAAAAAAAGTTAACTCATTGAGTATTTTCGTAGAACACTGAGGACAAATTACAAACTATAGTAGCTAAAGTTTGTAAAATATATAAACATACCAATTTCCTTTGCTCTCAGTTTCTATAACGGTTGTGCATCTGAACATTGATATATGTTTCATTCATCAGAAGTATAAGTCAGGGGTAGTGTTCAAAAAGCGGTTGTTTGAATAAAAATAGAATTACACTAAACAGGATCTATTTTCATTGTAGGTCTCATAATGTGAGATACGAGAGACTCTATTCTTCTACAGCCTTTTATTTAGTAGCGTTGTTCTCTACTTTTCTGCAAAACAAAATCCATTGAAAGTTATGAAACAATTGAATAAATTCGACTTTATTCACTTTGATAATTGATCAAACGAAGAATTGAACAGACATTATTCGGCAGACTTATAAATCAAAACAGTAAAATGTACTTATCTTAAACTTTCACAATATATTTCATTATTTTCAATAATCACATCCAATAAATTCTTGAATCAAAAATTGTACTTAACGCGAAAAGCATCCCAATAACATACAATTTAGCGTTAGCTTTTTCAAAAACTAACATTTGACTATATCAATTTCTTTTCACGAGAAGTGATGAGAAACATTGTTCTTAATCAGTAGTTCGTCGATAATCGCAACAAATTCATCTGTATCGAAGCCAGGATTCACTGAAAACTATTAAGTTTGGAAACAATTTATCAGTCCTGAGTCTTATATATAGTATGAATTTGAATCGATTTAAGTTTTGGGACATATTTTGTGTGTTGAAACTAGTCGAAGCATATATATTTGGTCTAAAGATGAAGTCCAACAGACAGCTTGTGAGTCTACAGTGAATATGATGTTTTTGTCTATTGCTACTTGGCCTTCATCGAAAGGCGAATGAATAACGAAAAAAAAAATCTCTCATTATCTGATGATTGACTTCATTATTATCGAATTGCTGCATGCCAACATTAGTTACTGGTTTCAACTGGTCGTGTGTAGATTTCTAGTCAAAATCAGGAAAAATCATTGTCTTATTGGTGAAATGACTCAGCTCAATCGAAGGTTTTTGAAACCGTAATACGATCTGGCTGCCACCCTCATTTTAGGACAATATATGTATCCTAAATTAGCTTTCTAATGCTTTGAAAAATTTCTGAGGAAGCCGAATCAGTTGTACCAATAACATGACTGAGAACTGTTTCAATAAGTTCTATACTCTTTCCTCTGCATGTATTGATCAACACTGTTATTTCACATTAACATACAGTACATTTTAATTTAAGTAGACTCTATACGTATCATAGTCGCGTATCAGAATATAAGTGTCAAAAATTAGGGAATACAGGTTTTAAATTGAATCATTCAGACAATGATAATGCTAATCAATGCTAAAGAAAAGATTGTGAATTCTATATTTGAAAATATGTAGCTTCAAATTTTGAATATGACGAAATATGCTAGCCATTAAAAAATGTCTAAAATATTGAAAAGCCGATTAGATACTTGATGATCTTTTGTACTTTGAACAAATTACAATCCTTTTAAGTGAAAACAATCCATAGTTACTTTTCTGCTTTAGAATTCTAATAACATTAATAGTTCATGTTTACCTATTCATGTTTGCAAAGGTGATCTAATAACACAAGAGGTAATTAGAATCTTAGAAAAATCGACTAGTGATGTGAAGAATTTATTTTTCATTTATTAGACTGATGTTATTGTTGTATCTTCATCATCACAGCGTTTATTTAAGAGCATTTGTAAAGCTGGTGGAAGTTCCGTGTTAGCTTCATACAATGCAAAATTGAATAACAATCCTGAAGCTCCTATTATTGTCGTTAAGGCTGATGGGCAGCTTGCATCAAAAATAATTTACTTTCTCTCATTGAAACCAAGTTCCGATACATCTATTCTTTGTAGGTCCATTGAAAAGTTTGTTTCGGACGCATTAGAAAAGGCAACAAAGCAAAACTATCGAAGCATCGCATTTCCAGCCATTAGTTGTGATCAATTTCGATGTTCACCCAGTATCGTTGCATGCACCATGGTTAGAGAAGTTTATCGTAAATTAAAAATCTCTAAAATGTCGGTTTCATTTGTAATTAAACCAGAAAAGACAGATATCTATGATGAATTTCTAAAGCAAATTCATTTATTAGAACCAACATTATCATCTCTTGAGTCAAGAACAATATGTGCAACATTTAAACGAGGAATAATCGAAGTTGAAATGGGAGATATAACAATGCAAAAGGTATTACAAAAATTAATCATATGTTTGTGAGAGTTCATCCCTTTGATATTTATCTTCGATAGGTGGATGTTATTATTGGTAGCTCATCATCAAATATCTTAAGAAAAGCAATAATAAAGGCAGCTGGCAATGAAACTCAAGCAGTATACGATCTCGAATCAACAACTCATCCAAATTCCGTCTTGATTGCAACACCAGCAGGAGCTCTACCCTGTAAACAAATATTCTTTGTTAAATGGGAACCTGATAGTGATGAAAAAATACTTGAACAATCTCTTGTTGATCTCATATATACTGTCGTACAAAATGTTAAATCACATAGGTTTACGTCAATTGCACTTCCAGCTATTGGATGTGGAAAACACGGCTGCTCAATAGATATTGTAGTTAAAACAATGGTTCTAGAAATGAAAAAGAATCTTATTAAGAGAAATTTACCATGGACAGTGAAATTTGTCGTGGAACCTGATCAAGAAAATATTTATGATGAATTTCGTAAACAAGTATTTACAACACAAGATGGTAAAACAAAAGTTTTCACTCTATTAATTAAACTGAATTGTGTGATATACAGAATAGATTAAAAGACCGTCCACCAAAAAAAAATTTGAATGCTCATTTCAAATTTATAGTCTTAATTCATACGGAAAATGTAAACATATACTATTTTAAAAGACAGCTATAAACACCGATAAAGTGTAACTTGTGATGTATGTTTTGAAAAATTTATAAATGTCTCCATGAAAATTTGATATCACAGATACTAATCTGAAAGCATTTTCGACTTGAAATAGTAAATCAGCGGATCAATGATTACTATTAGATCTAAAGATGGGGGGATGGATATTTCATTTCAACACAAACACGAGTTTCTCTTTTCTAAATGCACAAAATGCCATTTTTCCCTGAACAGCTAGTCTATGGCCTAGTGCTCAATAGTATGATTGTAATTCATACTATAGTTAGAGTGTCAGATTCAGTGAGATGTTTAATCAATAGCAAAATGGAATTATACTAAGATAAAATGAATTTATAACATACTATATTTATAATATTGTGCTTACTGATTTGCATTTAACAGGTAGTTATTTTATAAACTGTGATAAAGTTGTTGGCGTTACAGCAACAAATATTATGAGAAAACACAAATATAAATGTCGTTGATAGTCACTTATGATGATCAGAAAAAAGTGTAGGAGCTACTTTATTTCTGTATAAAAAACCTGAGAAAATGTTCTCCTTAAATGTAGTGATAGTAAAAAGAATGCTCTATTTCTCTGTGATATGTTATCATTCTTTCACTAATATCATTATAATAGGACTTTGATAAGAAATATTCGTTACGCTCTTAACTTTATTGGCGGGGATGTTGGTATTCTATGCTCTCAAACTTTCACTATCACCTATGGATGTATACAACGGTGTCGTTGTTCACCAGTCTTAGGTAGAACGCTGCACTGGCCTAGACATGTACGTATAGCATGATGGTGATCTTTGTTTCATTTTGACTTATTTGATTGGAAGAGATCTTTTTCAAAAAAATAGCTAAATTTGGAAACTGTACATATGATCGTTGTATCCCTATCCCACCTACGCCCACGAACAGCTGTTATTAAAATTCTATTATTATGATATTAGTTAAAGAATGATTGAATATCACAGAAAAAATAGAACATTACTTTTACTGTTACTATATATAAAGAGAAAATTTCCTCAAGTTTTCTATATGAAAAAACAAGTAATATCCATTTCAAAATAGAAGAGCAGTGGGTATTTTTCGAATAACTTTTCATAGAAACAAGATAGAGTGGTGCGGTTTTCACCATTAGAAAGAGAAAACTTAGACGCATCAATCCATCTCAAAATATGATTGGTTGATAATGGACCAATCAGGTGCAATCTCGACAAAAACGTTGAACATCTCTACCTGGAGACATTTTTCATTTCAATCCTGCTTATGAATTTATATATTGATAGAAAAAACTTTTCTCTTTCGATCTACGAAAGGCTGACCTTTCTAGCTTGTTCCGTTTAAGAGTTATAAGCGTTTTCCTGAGACCCCTGATTTCAGCCAATTGACCTCGGATCAGGCACACAATCATCTAGGATGGGGTAATTCATCATGCTGAGTCGNCCACCATGAACTTGATCTAGGTATGTTCAAGTAAACTTCGAGATCATAATGAGAAAATGAGTTGAAAGTCTACCTCTTGAATATGTTAAATCAACACTAGTTGACCTTAAATAATTTAATAATTTGTTCTGATATACCTTTTGCTGAGTTATCAATAACTTATGTGAATCCAATGAAAGTCTTCTTTTATGTCTATTTGATCGTTACCATAACATAAGTAACATGTCGTTAAAGACAATGCTTGATTCCAATACCATCTGAAGTAGCATCTGTTATAACTGAGTACAAGCTTTTTTCTTCGATTACACGACGAAGACTTTGTCTTTCTATCGTATTACAACAAATACTAATTAAGTCATTTTGAACTTTAGGATTCATATACATAACATGTTTGGCATAAGTCTTCAAATGCTGCTCCAGTACCGTGTCCCGACTTTCAATTCGAAAAAAAGAATTAATTCTTTGAAGTTTTCTAATAGAATAAAAAGATTATAAGATACATTTATCTGACTGCAACATTATGTTACCTAAATTATCAATTGATGTATACTAAATACCATCATTATGACCTCTGAATGTCAAGTTTTATTTAGCAATAAAAATAATACATTTAATGATATTGGATAATTTTTTTCTGTTTGTTATCTCTTGTTACTGATATTCATAATCTAAAATATGATCAATCGCATTGCTCGAGTTTGAAATTTATGATAAGTTGTTCAGTTTGCTCCTTAGAAAACACATGGTAATGAGTCTTTTCATGTCATTGAGTATATTCATTAACATTTGTGTAATGAAGTCAATAGTTTCAACACAAGTTGTCCAAGAGAATTTTTAGCTTGATCACTGACAAATTATTTTTGCTTGAATGGAACGCAACATCGGCATAAAACTCCGGAAAGAACAAGAGAATAACTAGGTCACGGATATATGAATAACCAAGAAAGTTGACAAACTGATCGTATCTTCTGAGGCACATTAACTTCAGGAAATTTGTATTTATTTGATGGTTTCCATGGATCTGTTAATATATCATACATTTTAGGAGTCGATACGTTACTTTTATTAGCAAATAAATCAATATTGGTCTTGCTCTACACTTGAATTTCTGCCTTAATTAAATTTTCATGATCATTTTGTTTAAGTTTTTTTTTGTCAAGGACAAGTTATTAACTTCAGAAGTTGTCAATGTATTTGTTTCACTAAGAATCTTGTTCAGTGATGGTGATAATTGTAGTTGTTGTTCTTGTGTAACAGCAAATGAGCTTGGTTTTGTTCTCTTCGTGGATGAAAAAAATGTACTTAATTCAGTCATTCACTCGTCTAAAAAATATTGAATGAAATCACATATATCAGTATTGTCGTGCTACATTTAGATTATTGCATAAACTATTGCCGATTTATCATTCAAAATAATTTTTTTCTTCAATTATAGTACTCTGAACAATAATTAAAAATGTATAAACAAGAAAAATCTCCTGTTCAATAATTATTCACAATTTCACTGTTCAAAGAATAAATTTACTGTAACTATTTCTTTTAAAATCATCCATGTATTCTATTCGGATAAATATAAGCCTTACTGAAACAATTCGACTACATACTACCTAAAAATGGAGGTCTATTTCAGATGGCGATAAATTCTACATGTCATTGTCCATATCTTATGTAAATGATGTCTGTTTGTCTTCGGTAGGTTCAGAACTGTTATATACTAAAAGTCTAATAACAGATTAACCCTATGGATTTGGGGGGGGGGGGGGGCACAGGGGACAGTCAGACGTCAAAATCGTTTTTCCAGATTTGGGCTTATCTCATAGCTAGCATTGAAGCTTCTATAGTGCTGCATTTAAATGCATCCTGGACGCTGCATATCAACAAAATGCATGTATTAAATTGAGGATCTATATAGGTTATAATCATTTGTTAGGATATAATTATACGGTGTTATGTATTTACTATATATATTACAGGTCATTTGGATTTCTTGAAGTTCTTTATGTTATGCATAATAAGATCAAAAACTTAAACTCAATATAGTAAAGAAATAACCACTGGTCGATGATGCAATTATTTCCTAGGGTTTTCAGAGAACTTTAATTCAAGTTTTTATTTGTTATCTCTTATAGTATGTCGTCCATCTATCTTCAGTGGATACGCAAAGATGCATATTTAAACTCTTGTTGAGATATAGTGTCTCAAATGTAACCTTCTCTCAAATTTGTCGGTAATGTTCATACAGTGATCATTCAAGTTTCTAGGTGGAAGTGAATAATTTTCGTAGTAAGAGCTAACAAAGATTGCAACACATACTATGAATATCGAGAAATTTAGGTCCTAAATAGAACTTCAAAAAAATATGAAATACTCGAAAACTCATTGTAATACGTTTCAGAATATATTACAGAACTATTTCGAACGTTGCATAATATTTATAAAAATTTTCTATAATACACCAGAGAACATTGCTGGAATGGAACTCGCGAAATATTATCAACTGACCAGAAGTGTTTCTGTCATTTCATATTTTTTATGGCAAATTTCATAGCGACAGTGAGCTCATTTATATGTCACAACTAGACTTGCATCAAACCTAAACATTTGAATTTGGTGAATTTACTTTAATATTTGTTGACTAGAGTTTGGACATGTTTTTTCTGTCTTCATCTGTACTTTTTCGAAATCTTATCTAATTCAACATTAGAAAAGTCACAAAAAAGGAACATTATCTTCTATAATAAGCATTCACCTAGCTAAAGTTGTTAATTGAGTTTGAGTGTTATTTGTAACAAACGTCAACTCATTAGATAATAAACGACCAATATTATCGAATAAAAATGCAACTGTGAAATCAATTCTCATTAGAGATTATATGGTTTTCTAAAAATTTTATATTTTGTCAAGTATATTTTAATTTGTCCCAGCTCTTCTGAATTGTATGCATCGCACGCTGATTAAGTTTTTTTTATAATTGGTTATCAAGACGGTTTTTCCAACTAATAAATTACTAAAACACATATTTTTTCTAAAAGTGCTTGTCATATACATATATGTGTTTCGAACTTCGAGTTCTATTCGAATGTTATTCAGTTTTTATATGATACAGATAAAATAGTGTATCCGAAAGAAGTTTTAATTGTTGTTTTTTTTTTGTCAAGAATATATCGTCTATTTTATATTTCAATGAGTCTGAATTGAAAGGTTTTGGGATTGTAACAAAAATTTTAGTTGATCTAAACACTTTTTCTGCATGCATGAATTTATTTTGAATTTTGATTGTTTTGACATTTCGTTAAATATGTTCATATATTTAAAATACTGTAGAATCGAATTCTATGCTTATGTCGTAGATGTGTAAGTATAGTCAAACAATAGACTCACACACACGCCCTATGTACAACTGAATAGTTTTTATTCAACAACTTATAGCAGATCGAATTGACTCTTTAAGTGGACGCGTCATTTGAAATACATCCGTTTTTATGTCCATTCTATCATTCGAAATCACTGTTTGTTCCATATTTGTGATATGAAGTTCATCAAAGTCATAAAATATTTTTTTTATTTTTAAGTCCATGTGAGTTAAGCTTGTGTCGCTACTGATTAAAAAAGAAGAAATACGAATTGAATGAATGATGGTAAAATACGGATTCATAGTTTGATTGGTGCGAGATTTCTATATGAAGTAAGAGAAACGTTTCTTCAGCTTACGGGTTTAGGTTATTTCTTTCGATCACAAAAAATGATATACAAGAATGAATGGTAACTATTTTTCTTGTTTGTTACTGTTATTATAACGATATCTATTGATTTCAAGGTAAATAATCAATTTGGAGGTCAGAAAACAATATATATGCTCTTTTTTTTTTCGTCGTTATTAGTTCGAGACGATAGGTATGTGCAATAGATTTTAATTTTAACTAAATTTCATGATATTATTTAATCGATTATTTATTGTATTTTATTGTATTGGATATTATTCAGCTCAATTTAACTTTTCAAATTATCATTGTTTAGATGGACCTAACTTTTGGTGTTTAAATGATACAACTGAATCATTATGTAATTTTACTAATAAAACTATTGGTCTCTGTGGATATTCAAATAAACGATGTCAAGTAAAAACTGGTAAAAGAAATATTTTTTTTCTATGAGAAAAAAAAATGAATCTGTTTTTTTTTTCTAATTTCAAGGTGATAATTTTTGTAAATCATCTCCACCGGCTCAAGAACAATCACCATTTGAATTTAATGGTGGCTTAACTGGAGTTGATGATAATTTATTTTCTTATTATATCCTTGATCTTTATTGGCCACCATCCAGTTGTCCACCAATATATAATGAAACAATTGATTTTTTAAGTTATTTTTGTTCACCATATACAGATGTTAATCAACCTGGTAGAGAACGTTTAGCATTACATGGCCTTTGGCCAACATTTTCAACAAATGGAAATTATCAAGGTTGGCCACAATTTTGTGTATCAACTCATTATGATTGGTCAAAATGTCATATCGATGGAAATTTATGTTCATGGACAAATTCAACTAAAGATAATTTTACACAAGTTGATTATGAATATTGTTTATCAGTAGAAAATAGACAAGAATGTCTTATTAATGCAACTGATATCCTTTTACCAGAACAAGAACGTTTGAAAATATTAGCACCAGGATATTTAGGTGTAAGAAATTTGTTTATTAATCATGAATGGACTAAACATGGTATATAATTTTAGAAGAAAAAAAAATAATTATTATTAGTATTTTTCGTAGGTTCATGTTGTTCATTGATATTTCAGCATAATATTTCGTATTATTTGGCTTATATGCTTGATTTAGTCGATATGGTAACAAGACCAGGAAGTTTAACTTATGAAGTATGTGATTTTGTATAACTATATATTGTGTTTTTACATAATGAGATTTACAAAAATCGACATAAGTACTCTTTGTTTATCGAATATATTTTATATTATTATCCTAATATCTGTCAAAATTAAATTGAATTAATATATCTTCTATATTTTTTGGGGGATTTTCTATTTGATAAATTAGATTGTAAAAACTTAGCGCACCATGACTCAATATTGAGAGACATCGATGATAATTGATGCTTTTGGACTACAGCTTTTTTGTCAGTTTAGTTAGAATGCATTCTATATCGTTGACAGATAGATTCAATAAATCAACACTAATGAGTAAATTTATCACAAACTAATTCGACTTACCTCATTACAATAGATATTCGATGAAATACTTTATTTGCTTATATACGTTAGTAAGTATCAATAGAAAAATTTTTTGTTTTGAAATGATTCCTAACGACTTATCGATATGTCTCATGTTGAAACTTGATGTAGTCCTAGTATTTTAGGAAGATATTTGATGATAGATAATGACCAAATGGTAATGAAAGAATAATGACAAATGATACTTTTCTGGTAAACAGTCATTTCCTATTAGTAGTTAAGAAAGCATTTTGTCGTGCTAACTATGATTGTCATATTTGAATATTGTCTGCTATGACAAAAACTCATCAAAATAATACATTTTCTAAGGAAATCTTCTTTTTTTTTTTTGCATATTAACATGATTGTTATCTTTCTTTCAGTACATTCAACGTAATGCTGGTGAAAAGGTTGACCTTAATTATTTAATTGCTGCTCTTAATCAAACAGCAATTATTAATTGTAATTCGAAATGTGAACTTGAAGAAATTGCGATGTGTATGAATCGAGATCATCATACTGGTTTACCAAAACGATTCATTGAATGTCCACCAGGTGCTCGTAATACCAGTGATTCATGTAAAAAAGCTCAATGTGAATATGTTTTTATTCCATTGAGAAATCAATATAGACAAATTTCAACCGATGATTATTATTTTTCATCAGTATGGACAACTCTATTGTCTATTATTATTTTATCTATTCTATTTAAATATCTTATATTGTTTTTTGGTGCTTGTTATCAATTTATATAAATCATTTATTAATAAAATTGATTTCTTTTTCGAAAGGGTTTCGTTTATTAGAAGTAATGCGAAAAAAAAAAAAGATTCTTGTACATACGAGATATAAAGGTTAACAGATATCTCAAAGGAGAAAATAAAATAAAATTTAAATCAGTTAGTTACTTTTGTAATGCTGCTTGTCGTAAAGCATCGACATCATCCGCTGTAATTTCAACAAGTTGTTTGATTTGTTGTGGTTCATTAAGTAATGCTAAATATAGTTGATCCACTTGTAGACGTTTCGGTTCAGGTGCTGGGACTAATTTATGTGTTTTTGGATCAGTTATTTGACCACCACTACCTGCTTGCATATAATGAAAATGTGATTCGTCATTTTCAATAGGTGCACCAAGTATTTGTTCATATTTATCAAATTCAAGTGTATAATGAACCGTTGGTGGTAATGATCTTGTTGACATACCTGCATATGAAATAAATGAATTTACATATAGATATATCTTCTAAGGAGATACAAACCTTTGGCATAATCTGTTAAAGTACCAATAAATGCTAGATCAGAAACTGCTAATAATTTAATACCTTCATCTCGACCAGTAAGAATACCCATGATTGGTTTGTCTAAATCTAAGAAAAAACGTTTGAATTCTTTTTGCTAAATAATTGAATATTATCTATGCATATTTTTTTTTATTCTTTTTCTCTCGTTTTCCAGAGAAATTGTTATTTAATTACGTATCTAATTTTTCCTATACGAATCAAAAAGAAGATATTATTTATGAATATTCCGTCAAGGTTAAATAAATGTTCATGGACTATAACATACCAATAGTTGATGGTAGATTACTTCACATAACGTAGAAAAGTTGTACGTATCTTTTTACAACTATGATATGTTATGAAGAAAAAGTTAGGTTAACCTTTAATGATTATGATTGCTTGAATGAATGAGAGAATGTTGCTTTGTTCTCGTTCCTACATCGGCTATGGTATCGTATATCAAAACAAAAAATGTTGAACAGAAACAGAGAAGGAGAGAGAGAGAGGATTATTAGGAAAATTGATTCGACCGATGAAGGACTTTCGATACATTCTTATCAAACGCAATCATCTCACTAGGGCACGTCTATTGATTATAAACTAGTCAAAGTGCATGGGAAACGCAGTTGGATACATCATTACAGACACCACCGCATGTGTATGTTTATTTATTCAGATAAGATAAAAAGAAGATAGTCACTAGAGCAATGGACATTCAATACATAATACTGCTGTTGTTATAATTACGCCTATACAGAAATCAAACTAGTGATGTCAAACCTATTAGAAAATACCCTAAAGATTGTAAATATATACATATATATATATATATGTATCTATGTAATGGACTTCGTCATCAACAAGACCGACTAAGCACAAAATGCTTAACAAATTACATGTCATTTGTCAATAATAATACTACGTCTGCAGTATCTTATTCATTCATGTTTACACTAGATTTGTCTTGAAACTATTTTTCTTTCTTATTTCATACACACGTGTATTAGAAAAAGAACATCTGTGAATAAAAAATAAAAATAAAAAGGCAAATTCTATTGTTCTAGTTGTTCATTTTGCAAGCTCGGATGGTTTATTTGTATAATGATATTGAACATAAGGTATTTTAAGTACAAGTTTATCAATAGCAGCACGTGATATATTTGGACATTCAATAAGAATAATACGTTTAAGATAATGAGAATTTCGTCGTAAATATTTTAAACCTTTATCTGTTATTAATTGACAATAAGATATATCTATTTCATATAAATATTTACAAACACCACTTAAATATTGTAAACTCATATCAGTTAATAATGAACATGAACATATATTTAATGTTGTTAAATATTTACAACAAAATGCCATTGAACGTATAGCATTATCAGTTAATTGTGTACAAAATGATAAATTTAAATATTCAAGATTTGTACATGATGTTGCAAATTTTGTTAAACCTAAATCTGTTATTTGTCGACATGATGATAATGTTACTGAACGTAAATTACCAGAATTTCCTAAAGATTTTAATGATGTATCTGATGTTTGTGTACCCGTTATATCAATTGATATTAATTGATCCATTTGTCCAATTAATTCTAAACCATTTTCAGATACTTGATCTAAATAACATAATTTTAAATAAGCTAAACGTTTACAACGTCGAGATAAATTCGTCATTGAACCATCACTTATACGCATACAATTAGTTAAATTAAGTTCACGTAAACGTAATATACATGGTCCATCTGTTAAAGATTTTATACCAGTATCAGTTATTAATAAACAATCGGCCATATTTAATACACGTAATTGTTTTAATGAACCAATTGATTTCATACAATTATCAGTTAATGATGGACAATCAGTTATTGATAAATGACTTATTTCACTACATGAACGACATATAAGACGAAGATGCTACAAACAAAAAAAAAACAAATTAAAATAATAAAATCTTACTGATAACATTACAAGATTAGACATCGGTTAGTTTCAGTTCATAAATATTTGGATAAGGTGAAGAATTCAGTTTTAAGAAGAAAAAAAAAACAGCTTTTGGGCAAAATTTGGAAAAGTTTAGCGGTTGGATGTAGGAGGATTGTTCATTTTACGAGATTAGCCCTTTGGACGATCCTATAGAGAAAAATATAATTTTTTTGTTTCAGAAATTAAACATGTAAATTAAAAAGCACTTTTTTATTATTGTATAGAGCTTGACTTGGAGGTTTCTAAAAGTTACTTGATTTTTCTGCCAAAACAATTTAATTTTGACAGATATGAATTCCTCTGAGAACATCACGATTTCCATCTCAATTTTTGAACAACTGGTTTTTCAGTTTCTTTAACGATTATAACAAAGTTATTTATATCATTAGATGGGATATATTTCCTTGTATTTAAATATTGAAAACTGCGATCATAACAGTTCCAATTTCCGCCCCATTATTCCGAGTACTAGATACGGTTTGTAGTACATATCTGAGACCGAAAATACTTTAACAAAAACGCATGCCTTTAAATAGAGAAACCAAAAATCAACAAAACAATTAAAAAATCTATCTCTTCCAAACAATGTATAGTATATGTGAAAAAAAGTTTCAGTTCGATCGAACTTACTATTTTTGTCACATAAATTCGATTTTTTAACGTTTGACAGCAAGTTTTGGATCCCAAAGACAGTAGACTTGCAGAAGAAAAAAATAGCTTTCTCACAAAATACTCCATTTTTTAAGTATCCCATATCTGTATAAAAACTCATCCATTAACATTGAAAATTTCAGGATATTGCAAGTACCATGAGATCTGTTATTAAGGAAAACCTCTTGCGGAAACTCCTTACTACCGTTTTTTTTCGTAATATACTGAAAATAAACTAAAATCATCATTACTTGAGAAGAATGGGCTAAGAACACAAACTCTCTTAGCATTTTTATCTAAACTATAAATCCTTCTTATGACCTTTTGAAAATCAACGAAGTGTACATGAAAAATGAGAATCTAGGCCACTTGCCCGCAGAACATATGCTCGCCGGACAGATCCCCGCAAGACACTTGCCCGTATGATGCTTGCCCGCATCCTCACCCTCAACATTCTCCATTCCGGGCACGTATCACACGGGCAAGTGTCTTGCGGGTATCTGTCCGGCGGGCAACTGTTCTGCAGGCAAGTGGCCGTAACCCNGTGTTGAAAAAACTTAATTATTTTTAAATCGAATTAGAGTACAATTAGGCATTGAAAATAATGATGAGTTTTTAAAAATTTTTTTCAATGTGTTATAATCTGCATCTTCTGCAGATGTGACCATAAGAATTTTCCCACCTTAGTTCTTTCTCCGCTGTTTTTCTGTTAAAGGCTAAAAACATTGTCGAATTTTTTGTGAAATCCTGCGAGACACTTGACAAAGTATTGAAAAAAGCCTTTGATTTTCAATTTTTTCAATGATATTAACTTTATGTACTTATTCTTTAAAAAATGAAATGCATGTTATTGAAATGAGGAATTCATTAGAAGCACAAGTTTTTGTCAAAATATCGTCAATGAATTAGTTATTGTTTGTTGGTGAGATTATTTTCAATAACTTCGACAAGTTGATTTATCGAAGTTATAACTTCGACAAAATTAACCGTCGAAGTTGTAACTTCGGCACGACATATATATGTCGTATCGAAGTTACATCGGTCGACAAAGTTATAACTTTGTCAACAATTTTGTCGAAGTTACAAAATTGACCAAGTTACAACTTCGACAAGAAATTTTGTCGAAGTTATTTTTTACACATTTACCAATAAATAATTTTATTAAATTGAATATCCAACTACTGAATCTATGATCAAAACTAAAATTTTTCTAACAAATATATATTTATTTAACAAATTTGTTAAATAAATATATATTTGTTAGAAAAATTTTAGTTTTGATCATAGATTCAGTAGTCGGATATTCAATTTAATAAAATTATTTATTGGTAAATGTGTAAAAAATAACTTCGACAAAATTGTTGACAAAGTTATGACTTTGTCGACCGGTGTAACTTCGATACGACATATATATAGATATGTATATATCTATATATATATGACAGGAAAGAAAAAAACCCATCATGCATAACTAAGAATATGAAAAGAAAAACAAGCGCGTACGCATCATCATATACATATACCGGAAAATTCTTATGGTCACATCTGCAGAAGATGCAGATTATAACACATTGAAAAAAATTTTTAAAAACTCATCATTATTTTCAATGCCTAATTGTACTCTAATTCGATTTAAAAATAATTAAGTTTTTTCAACACCATCTTCGCTAAGTTCAATACCAGATTTAGTCATTTCTCTGTTAAAATTTGAGAAAATTTAACTTCGTGTAAAACTAAAAAGCTTCATTAGATATATCCATTGGATGTTTCAGAATATATTATTTTACATATATTTATATAAGTATTTTTCTCGATGTCTCGCCTGCATATTATGTTCATAACTCAGAAGAATATGATATATATTTGGTTTAAAAGAAAAAAAAATTCGTAATTTACATTCAAAATATTCATATAGGCGTGTCCCTTTGTCGTTATATTGTGCACATGTACATATATCGAATTTTTATCACAAGATAAATTAGCCAACCAGAACTGATGACAGGTTTGTCTATATCTTTCTGACTCACTCTCATTACTCATATCTACCTTTATCGAAAACATATATAAAGAATGTAATTATTGTGAATAAAATATTTATTTCTATTGCAGTCTTCATTCATTATTTAATCATTGTTGTTAAAATATCAACAGTAAAATATCAAGAAAATGTCTGTGAGTAACGTGAAAAAAATAGAGAGACGTTTAATAGTAAGTCTTGTTAAATATTTCTTTCTTGTAATAAATTACAGACAATTTGTTTGTGTGAATTAAATATTTATAAAGCTACCATTTTCTAGCGACAATTAAGTGCTCCTTTGCATGATCATTCGACGGAATTTGATTATAAACACAGTACATGGCATCTATGGAAAACGTTGACATCATCTGTCAAGACACATAAATTAGATTTAAATTTTATTCTTTGTTTTTTATCATCATATAAGTGTGCACAACGTATCATACTTGTTCAGGATCTTGAATTTGAATATGATTATAAACTTATTGATATGATCCTTGAACAACCTGAATCTCTGATACGCTCATGTACATTAGCCATGTTAATTGAACCCATTGACTTATATGTACGTGATTTTCATGATTTACTTATATTAAAATCGAATGATAAAAGTAATAATGACATATCAAGAAAGTTAGTGCAAATCTTATTATCATTAGATAATGACGACACACAAAAATTTAAAGAGACATATAAAAGTTTATTTGAAAATTCTGTTGAAACAGATATCGAAGTTGTTCAAGGTGAAAAAACTAATATGTCAAAACTGCTTATTCAATTACTTGAAGGAAAACGTAAAGAAGAATCTACTCATTCATTATCAGCAGCAAAACTGATTGCTAAAAAATTATCTGAAGCTGATGAAGGAGATAAACTTGGTATTGATTATGATACTTTTATAAAAATTTTTACACATGATGCTTTTGCACAATTATCAGCTATATTTGATATGTATGAGGATCAATACGGACATCCAATACAACTAGCAATAGAATATCAATGTCAAAGTAAAATTGAAGCCGAATGTTTTCAAGACATAGTTGAATATACACGATCACCATCTGGTTATCATGCTAAAATACTTCGGTTAGTATAATCCTGGATTAAAATTACAAAATTTGTCAGGAAAACACAGCCGGAATTCTCAAAAGTGACTACGAATCTGTACGAATCAATATTGCCCACAGTACAGTAATGTGTTTTCTTTATGTAAAGTGCCTTGGACCAATAAAACAGANGTTGTTGTGGTAGTTGTTGTTGTGGTTGTTGTGGTAGTTGTTGTTGTTGTGGGTTTTGTTGTAGTTGTGGTTGTGGTTGTCGTTGTTTTTGTTGTTGTTGTGGTGGTCGTGGTTTTTGTGGTTGTAGTGGTTTTTGTAGTTGTAGTGGTTTTGGTTGTTGTTGTGGTTGTCGTGGTTTTTGTTGTTGTTTTGGTTGTCGTGGTGGTGGATGTTCTTGGTGTACCTGAAGGCATATGAGAAGTCGTTTTCAACTGAAGGGAGAGAAACTGTGGCGATGAACGGGCGATTCTCTTGGTTTAGGTGAATGGACTGGTACTGTAACGCAGTGGCGTCTGAAGGGAGTAATATTGGGAGGTAGTGTGAACATGGTATAGTACGTTGGTCGATGGATGGCGGTATAATGTTGAAGGTCGTGTGGGAATGTCTGATGGTCGGTATAGAATGGATTCCATAGGCGGGACACTTAAATGTCATAAAAGTATGGGTGGTGTGAAAGATATTGGAGAGTTTAGGTGCCTGCGATTTTGCAATGGGATCTGGCTTATGGGCAGTTAAGCGTTGCTAGTATCGGTAATACGATAGCACGAAGATCAGAAGAAGAAGGGAAGATATGAAGGGGACATGGATACGGGGAATGTTGCTTTGTTAACTAGGGAGGAGATGGGATTGATCGAGGAAGCGAAAACATGTTCCCTATATGAGATATAAAATAATCGACAAGTAGTGTGGGAAGGAATGATCGGTTTTTGAAGATGGATGCGAATTATTCTTCTATGTTGTAGATCCAGTATCCGCTGCTTAATCAATCTTTGGAACAACAAAGTGTTATTCAAAACTTTCGCCTTTTCTGTGAAAATGGGCTTTATCTACACGACACTTATGTGCATTTTGTTGAATGATGTATACATGTTTTTTGCTGGATGATCATTGCTATGATATGATAAAAAGAATTTTCAAGTTGTGTGAATCTCATGAGAACTTATGACTACTTTGTTACTTATGAGTAACGCTTGTACATCTTATTTTTTTTAGAAAAACCACAAAATGCTGATTATGTTTGACTCGTCGGAATCGAAGAAAAAAGATGTTAGCAGATGGTTTTACTAGACATTTTTATAGCATTCAATAGATTTCGACAATCTCTAGTAGAATATGAATGTGAAAAAGTTTTTATGTTGTTTTCAATACAATAACTCGAGTAAATCGATATGATTTATAAAAATTGTAGATAGCTTGCGTTAGAAAGTACGCTTAACTTTGAATAACTTCAGCTGATCGACTGTTAATTTGTATTTTGAAATACAGTTTCATATAAGCTGAAAATAAATCTTTGGAGCGTCGTGAACAGCCGGAAAATTCGATTGGCTAGAGTTATTCTAAGTTCAGCGTATTCTGTAGATTGCAAGATATATGAAATCGTTTTTAGTCTTCTAGGTTCCTCGAAGTTTTTTTTGTTGAAAACAGCATCAAAACTTTTTTTGATATTCATATTGTTGCCGAGCTCATCGAACTCTATCTTGCTAAGTAAGAATATCTAGAAAATAATATTTCACTTCAGACGTTACAAGCATATTTTACTCTTGTAAAAAATGGAAGATATGAAATACTCAGTCATAATTTCTAAAACAACATTATTTTTTTGATTTCGTCGATACAATTCGAGCCATTTTTTATTCAGATGATAGCTCTAATCATGCTCTACAAAAATTGTATACTTCATTCAACTATCTACACATATTTTTCATATAGATATCGTCGATTTACAGGAATAAGTCGCAACGTTTGAATCATCCATTAGGAGGATAGTTCGTATTGACCTTATACTGGCTATGTGTTTCCTAGTGAAAACTATTGTGGGCCAACAAATGGCGTTATCGATCCTCGTCCTTTCTCACAGAATCCTTACTTCGGATTGCGTCGATGTGGGTGGTGTCAAGGTATATTCACTGTTTTTTGTCGATAATGCTGCTCATTTGACATCATTAACTGTCGAACTACAAAGAGCCCATGACTGATCCAATATAGAATGCGCCATCTCCGATATCGTGATTAGTGTGAAGAAAACTCAAGTGATGGTACTATCCAGACAACCAAGCCAGCGCAATCTACAACTTGATAGAACTTCATCGAATCAGGTTGACAAATTCAGATATCTCGGTGCAGAGTTCTCTAGTGGTTTAAAACACGAAGGTGAAATCGATCGACGAATTAGTGTGGTGAATAAAATTTTACGCTCATTATATTGATCAGCTGTGGCAAAGACAGAGTTAAATAAAAAAACTAAGCTAGCAAGCTTCGGGTCGGCATATCACCCAACCTTGATCTATGACCATGAGCAATGGGTTATGTCGGAGTGAATTCGAGTCCGTCCACAAGTGGTTGGGATGAGTTTCCTACGACAAACAGCCCACATCGTATCCTTGTAGTGCGTTACGAATCAATTTCGGCCCGCTTTAGAATTTTTATATAGAAAACTCTGACCATTTTCAAGATATAATAGAGACTTGCTTTAGTATTTGAAAATATCCGGTTTGAATGTATTGATCTATCAGCTCAAATGAACGGTGATATGTCTTACTGTGTGGGGCTCACTTCTAAATAGTGAATATACAGCTGGACTCTGCTGTTTATTGCTGATAATTACTCAGACATAAACTTCCAAGGAAGTAAAAGAAAATACATAATCTTTGTTTAATTGTTTTATTGTCGGACTTTCTTCCCTTTATCCTACGTAGTTAATTAAGTTCATTTAAGAGACAATCAATGGAAATACCTTCTCTCAATAAATGTGCTTCTCTTATTGAGCATTCCAGCACACACACACACTGACTTAAAATCTAGTTTACATCTTTGTAAGTTTCTACTTATACTGTATTCAGAATTTCGCTTTTAGAGTGAAGGATTAGAGAAATTTATGACTAATTTTGACAATGTTGTATGAGATTTTCTTATTTGAAGGTGATGATTGAACCGAGATATTTGCCAGCTTTTTCGTAATTGTTTTTATTGTTGAGTTAATTAGAGAATAGGCTGATTTATGAGTCGTTTGAGAAAAGTCAATCGAAGGTAGGTAAGAATTAGGCACGATCGGCACGATTAACTACTGTCCTAGTTCTCACTGGGATATTAAAGAAAATATGAAGGGCTTTGATAATGGAACCTTTTTTACGAGCTTGAGTATTATTAATACTTCTTCTGACGAATATAAGCTCTTTCGCAGAATAGTTTCAGTTGGCTGATAGAGTACTGTGCTACTCGGAGATATTCATTTCGTCTAATGTTTTTTCGAAGCTTCATACCGATGAATTTGTCACGCGGAAAATTGAATTGTATTCAATATTTTCCGATTGGGAATGTTACCCCTTTTATCGACAAAAGAATCTCAGTTGTTATGTTTTATACTTTTTTTGTCATTATGAGTGACATGGCGTCTAACTTTCACAGATCTTTTTTTCAATTTCAATTTACGAAAAATAGTTTTTTTTGTATTTTTTTCTGAAACACGGCTGTCGCAGCAGTTAGCTGGGACATTGTTTAGATAATCTTCAGGAGCGCAAGCCTCGAGCATTCGCAAAGAAAATAAATTGGAGACTTTAAAAGCTTGAACACTTCGGTATTTGAGTTCTTCCAGTGTTAAAATATTTAACCATTTCATTTGAAAAGTAACTTTTCAAAACAAACTGTTGATTTCTACGTTTCTATATTAAATCACACAGTTGTTTGGTAGCAGCCTCGATCCCTACTAAATAACTAGTTTTTTCTGAGTTTTCATAAATTATGTCAGTCATCAGTGGCGAATTTGCCCCAATTTTAGTCATTAGAGATTATCAAATTCACACATCACTTCTCCAAAGTGATATCTCGGTATATGGAAATTTTTGAGTAGCAAAAGTTTATCTGATACATCGGTTTTAGAATAGGAACGATTCGGTGAGCTAGCTGCTTGAGCATCTTAAACTATGAAGAATATTCTTACTTGTTGGAGTGCACACATGGCTCAAAACAAACTCTGGCTCATTCCCGCCGCTCACGGTTGCCGAACAGGCAAGGAGGGTATCTGCTGTTGGTGTAAACACATAAGCATGCTTAGCATTTGGTACATTAACCATTGTAGTAATCGTGCCCGCTAGCTGGAAGGTGCAACTGATTGAAACGAAAGATGCTGCTTGGCCCGGGAGGACAAAATGCCAACCATAAGTATAGTTGTTCGGAGATGTTGGACATGTGCCACTGGTAAACCCAGTACTTGTTGAACCGATTTGACTTTGCTTGACATAAGAAGTATAGTTTGCTAAAATCAAGGCATTCTTTAAGTTTTTTCATTGGCAAAATCTGAGAAAGTCATGAATGAAAGCAACAATATCAACATGTTTCAGATTTATGTCTCTAATCAAGATCTTTCTGAAACCTAAAATGTAGAACAAGCAATGGGCTGAATTTTTGTTGAGAAAGTTTATCCTAAGAAAGAGAGTAACATTATAACTACAATCTTCTGTAATAATTGAAATATTTTCAAAAGAAGGACTTCAAAGAGCCACTATGCGAATCTCTGCCGGAGCGCGTCTGTCTATCTCTGTGTTCTTCAATTTAGGTGAATTAGCTTTTCGACATATTAGGAAATATTCCGTTCGAAGTCTATGTAACCATACACACGACTTCTTGTTTTTTTCTGAAACTTATATGATATTTGTATGTTCTGTTATCACTGTCAGTATAATTTTCATGTGTCACCAAAACTAGTGGCATTGTCGTCAGGAAAAAGTTATTTTCTTTCATGTGCACATGTATTGTTCCAACCGAGCCTATTCAATGTTGGTCTTACTATCTTTTTTCGTTCGACTTGGAATTTTTGATGATTATTTTCGATGAATAAGTCATTGCCATATGTAGACAGACTGAAGAGGGATTCACAATGATCACTCAAGATTTGAAATCGAATGAAAATTAATATCAAAGTAAAAATTCAACAGCGTTCGATGACGATGGCATTAATATGCATGAAAGACAATAGCTGTTCACTCAGGCAAACGCTATTGCTTTGGATGAAATATGCTAAATATACAGGCATTACGAACAAAATATGCATATATGACAGTTTCAAAGCAAAACAAAAGTACTGTGCCACATAAGAAGAATTAAAACATGGTATACGTTTTGTGTCAAATGCATATTAATAAGTGTTGACATATACAGCGAGGTAAATGAATCTACTTCAGTCCCACTGACA